AAGAATGCTGAATCTTTGGACACATTTAAATCGTCTCTAAAAACCCACTTTTTTCGTCTTGCCTATTACTAAACTTTCTATGTTCAATTGTCTCTCTGTAAATAGTTTTAACTATTTTCTTATTTTCTTTTCTCCTATAGTATTGTAGCGCCATGAGCGGGTATTAGTGCCTGGATGTAGCGCTATATGAATACCCACATTATTATTATTATTATTATTATTATTATTATTATTATTAATCTGTACTTTACTGGGAAAGTGTAGCCCCAAATATATAACTCATGTAATAACCGTCAGTGCGTGGGTGATTGAATATGTGTTCATGCCACTTACGCAATTTTCCAGCCAGCAATGTCATGGCGAATGAAAACAGCACTGGATCCCGAGTCTTCTACGTTTAACACTAGCCCACAAAATACATGTCACATCTCTGAAAACAAGATTCTCTGCATGTAGCTCCTTGAGAAAACCATGTTATTTTACAAGAAAGACGAGTTTTCTATTTATTATGCATTTTTTTGCATGGGTTTCAAGATCTTTCTCAAAACCAATTACACTGAAAATGCTTGCGGAATACGTGTTATTTTACCCGCATCAAATGTTGATAGCATAGTATTTATCAAACACTTAATAAACCTCATTATACATAAATCATATTTCGTGCATAATACGTTGGCGTTTAATCCCTTGAAACGAAGTCACTTTTCCAGAAAATTGCATTTGGATCTCATCATAACTGTAAGAAACCAATTCATCTGGTTGTATACTGTCCCAAAAAAGAAACGCATAGTTGATTTTGTTTTTTTTAAAAGTCTATTAATTACCTATTGTGTTCAAACAAACGTCAAAATATGTAACAGAAGTGTTCATAACATGATTTTACACAATTGCACAAGTAAAAATTCGATTTTTCCTGAAAATGTTGACATTGATGAGATTTCTTACAAGGATCAAAAAGGCATCGCCACAACGCAACAGAAATCACCTTCCAGTTGAAATTGTGCAGCAACGAGCATGCACTGTCTGGCAATAAAAATCCAGATTACTTTCGGAAATTGGCATTCGTTTTGAACGAGTTTCAAGGTCAAATCACTACGCCACGTCTTGACTCTGCGACAAGGAACATCGCCATTGAAAGAATGCACGCTGGAGATTACCAATCTTCTGTTGCCAGGCGTCTGAATGTTAGTCTGAGCACGATATCACGGCTTGCAGCTCGTTACAACCAAACAGGTATAACAAATGACCGTCCCCGTACAAGCAGACCTCGAGTCACCACTGCAGTCCAAGATCGGTACATCCGGGTACTACATTTGCGTGATCGTACTGCCATGGGTGAGAGCACAGCAGCCAGGGTGCCTGGACTTCGGAGGATATCCGGTCAAACTGTACGGAACAGGTTGAAAGAGATTGGTCTGACAGCCAGGAGACCCGACGTCGGGACCGTGCTACGTCGTCACCATCGCGCTCAACGTCTCCGTTATCTAAAAGTATCCACTTGGCTGTATAGACATTCCCTTCTTCTAAACTGGTGTGAAAATTTATGCACTAAAGTCTATTTGTGGACGAGTTATACATGTTTGAAAATACAACAGTTTCGCAACAGATTTCTGGCCTATGCGTTTCTGTTTTGGAATAGTATTTTAGTTTATACACATCGAATAAAAAGCAGCGTCTTTAATCAGTGATGAGTCTTCCTCTAACTGTGTAATGGGTAAGTGAGTTTAGTTTTACGCCGCACTCAGCCATATTCCAGCTATATGGCGGTGGTCTGTTAATAATCCAGTCTGAACCAAACAATCCAGTGATCAACAGCATGAGCATCGATCTACGCAACTAGGGATACGATGACATGTGTCAACCAAGTCAGCGAGCCTGACCACCTGATCCTGTTAGTCGCCTCTTACGACAAGCATGGGTTGCTGAAGACCAGCTGTAACCCGGATCTTCGCGGGTCTCCTCTTACTGTGTAAATGAATGAACCACATCACAGGGTAGCAGCAACAGCTTCAATGATGACACTTTCTCGTTTTGTCCTTTATTTACAGAAAACACGTGTGGCATGTACAAATAGCAAAAATAACACTTGGCACTAATATGAGACGTTATAATGCCTCAAGATAATTTACAATGAAGCTCCTAAAATCCTAGTCTGCCATACAGACCCTGAAATAAATATATCCAAGAAAGCCCATGCAAGTCTAGAATATGTGTCAAGTCTAGATTTCCAGAAGAAACTGTCTCTGAAAATGAAGAAAGTCTCTGGGCTTCATGTTTTATGATTATAAATTAAGAACATTTTTTGAAAGAAAACCAAGTTTTCTTTCTGTAAAATATGTTCATTTCAGAGACTAGATATTAGTCTACTAAAAACCCTTCTTTCTTTTTATAAACAATTAAGAATTACCAAATGAAAACAAGGATTTGCAATTTTTGCAAGTATTTATAATCATTCTGAATAATAGTATCTTTTGCAACTAAATATCGGGCTAACACTTGACGTACATTGCGACATATGACGTGTGAGTTCTGGTAGATATTCGGTTATTGGTTGGACACTGTTACGTATATGGAAGAGAGTGCGCTTTTAACAAAGCGCTATATGTTTTTAGCTAGGGCGACATCAGTGTCAGTCTATCCTGCATCGCTATTTTTTTATATCGCTAAAATACTATTTATCTTACCTTCATGTAAAATACTTTAATTTCATTGGTCAATGGCGGTTTAACAAGTTTCCGTGTCACCCTCCCAGGAAGGTGTCAAGTGGAAAAAATATTACCCGCTGCCACGGTAACCGCCAAGCTCTCCGCCGAGAAGCTGCAGCGCTAACACTAGTATGACGTCATAATATGACGCATGCCGTGCCCGGAGTTCGAAAACCGTTCGGTCAGCTGTTTTTGTGTTCACTTTGTACAGATTTATTTTACTGACTTTCACTGCTTTATTTAAGCAATTTTATACATTGAGTGGTTTGCACACGCAGCTTAACGATTTGTATAGCAGTTTTATGCTTGTCAGAATATGTTTCACTGATGTTAAAAATCCAGTCGAGAGGCAGACGCCATTTTGTTTGCATGTCATAGGGTCGGTAGCGATCTTTAACATAAAATAAAATGATATTTTGTACAGTTAACATGGCGGTAAGATAAATACGTTGTATGCTTCTTCCTCGGGTAATACGGTCTGATGTACGCCTCTTTGTAACAGTGTCACCCGAGCCGGTAGGCGAAATCTGAGTTGAAACGAGTTTACTAATTTCACCTCAGCGCTGGGGTGAAAAGTGGTTTCAACAGCTGTGCTGCGGTGCGCTGCGCTCATAACGCATGCGCAGTGAATAGGTTCGCGGAGCTTGAAACAGGATGCATGCCCGGATTATAAGGTCGTGAGCAGGAGTAGTCTAATCTTGGTTATGTACACAAACAAGTAAACAATCTACTCATTACATAAAAAACAAACATGTTGATTGTGATAAGCAGCCTCTGTCAAAGACAAAACTCAATGTCTGTTTTATTGACACCTATATGTCTGCCTGCCTGTCTGCTAATGACCATATGCAATACACAACTTCAATCATTGACCACATGCAATTTGAACTTAAGCGCCCGTGAGTTAGAAACCCATGTGGGATAATTGATATGAAGCGGTGTAATCCGGTGTCCGAAATCCAGGCCCGTGATTGGCTACTCCATGGTAATGACCTGAGGTCAGACAATGACGAAGTTCATTTCTGATTGTAATTTATTGATATATGTCGTGGTTCCACGGAACTCATTTACGTCTGTATCGAAACTTATGATTTAGAAGTGTTAATACAAGTTTTTATTTGTTATGTCGTTTTGATTATCATTTTGTTTAGTTGCTGATCCACAATTATGACGGAAAGGTGTGAAAGGCGTACGTACGAACGAGTATTAGGCAGTTGGACGGAAAACGTCAACAGAGGAGCGTTGTATAACGAATTAATACGCCACTGTGATCAGAAAAGACCAAATACACGGTGCGATTTTAGAGAAAGAGATTACTGTACTCGTGCCTGCCTTCCATTTACAACTGACATGCATACACTTACACCTCGTCGTTTTCTTGGCTTTTTGTTTGTTTGTTTGTTTGTTTGTTTGTTGTCTGATGCACTCAGCAATATCCCAGCTACATGGCGAAGGTCTTTAAATAATCGAGTCTGGACCAGACAAACCGGTGATCAACAGCATGAGCATCGATCAACGCCATTACTTCTTCTCTATCATTTCATCAGTTCCTTTATGTTTGTCGGTTGTATGGATCATATGTAATCATATGTAAAACATATTTTAGATATATATCATCTTCAGTATCAAAGGTAAAACGTCAGTGCAAAAGAATACACATGTACAGTCTTGACTATCCTCAGAAAGAATTTGCGTAAAGTTTGTTTTGTTTGTTTGTTGTTTAACGCCACTCAGCAATATTCCAGCTATATGGCGGCGGTCTGTAAATAATCGAGTCTGGACCAGACAATCCAGTGATAAACAGCATGAGCATCGATATACGCAATTGGGACACGATGACATGTGTCAATCAAGTCAGCGAGTCTGACCACCCGATCCCGTTAGTCGCCTCCTACGACAAGCATGAGTTGCTGATCGAAGACCATTCTAACCTGGATATTCACGGGTCTCAGACAATTTGTGATTAACATCACGAGCATCAGTCAGCCCGACCACCCAATCCGTTAGTCGCCTTTTACGACAACCATGGTTTGCTGAAGACCAATTCTATATAACCCGTCTCTTCACGCATCCCAAACGTTTCTAAATTGCTTTCGTTCGTTAGACATGTTTTAAAAACCCTTGTAGGATAACGTCTATCTGACAGACATGCTTGTTTTAGTGATCTCATAAGACTGATAAATGAATCTGTTTTCGATGGACATATTAAGGGCACGTAGGCGAGGGTGCATGTACACAGGTCTTCACGATATTATTCCATTCTGTTCCACCGGAGCATGACATATCTGTCAAAACCCCTGCGAGGCAAACAACATACTTATGACAGCCTTGGCAAGAGTGGTGTCTTCCAGATAGCCCCGCACAGTTGGATACACAGGCATCTGAAGAAACATGTTCATTAATAGATCAGTATGTCGCAACATCCATCGTCCGCCTGTCCGTTCGTTCGTTTATTCGCGCGTCCGTTCGCTCGTTCGTTCGTCAGTCCGTCTGTCCTGTCATCAGTTCGTTGGCAGCGTTCATCATTGGATCAGTATGCTACAATATCCATCGTCCACCTATCCGTTCGTCTATCCATTCATCCGTCCGTTCGTTCGTTTGTTCCTTCGTTCGTCCGTCGTCTGTCCACCCGCCTGTCCGATTGTCCGCCCGTTCGTCTGTCCGATTGTCGGGCGATGAGGTAACTTCGATTCCCCGCATGGGTACAATGTGTGAAGCCCATTTCTGGTGTCCCCCGTCGTGATATTGCTGGAATATTGCTAAAACAATACTTACTAACTCACTGTCCGATTGTCCCTCCGTTCCTCTAAACATTCGTCTGCCCCGTCTGACGTTCATTCGCTTGCTGTTTGTGTGTTTGTTCGTTCGTTGGGACAGTCCCATCGTTTGTTAATACCTCACCAGTTTCAGTTACAGGGCATGACATCATTGTGACATTTTTTCGAGGGGTGGTGGGGTAGCCTAGTGGTTAAAGCGTTCGCTCGTCACGCCGAAGACCCGGGTTCTATTCCCCACATGGGCACAATGTGTGAAACCCATTTCTGGTGTCCCCCGCCGTGATATTGCTGGAATATTGCTAAAAGCGGCGTAAATCTAAACTCATTCATTCGACAGAGGCATTGGTTTAACGCCGATTTGACCAGTATTTCAGATCAAGCTGATTGTTTGCCGTTTAACTCCGCACTCAGCAATATTACAGCTATATGGAGACAGTCTGTATGTAATCGAGTCTGGACCAGACAATCCAGTGATCAACAGCATGAGCATCGATGTACGAAATTGGGATGACATATGTTAACCAAGTCAACGAGCCTGACCACCCGATCCCGTTAGTCGCCTCTTACGACAAGCATGGGTTACTGAAGATCAATTGTAACCCGGATCTTGACGGACACGTTCCAGTTATATCCCGGTGTATCAGTTTTAGGGTGGCAAGTAAAGATTTACGGGTACAATTAAGGCGGTTACAACCTTTTGAGACCGACGGGTACGGTCATGTTTCACAATACCATATATTCAATAAAATACCAAACGTAGTTAGCGTAACACACTCATTCTCAACATAAGTGCACAATTACTAAAAGGTCACGTCGTCTCCATATACAATACATTTTCCGGTAAATGCTGGATTAAAACGTTACAATATATGACTAATGTAATTTAAAATCGAAGTGGCAACATAATAATTAACCTTAGTGACACATTTTGCAGTCCATATTTGTGAGAAATGCCCCAGCTGAGAAAGAACTTGTCAAAATAGCAATGTCGCCAGCAGGAGATGGTATATCGACTATGTTAGTGAGATGACATGCTGAGCTGTGGAAGCGGAAACAAGTATCATGACAGCACAAGGTCTATTTAGACAACTTTTAAGAAGTCATACTGTTAAGCATTTTCTTAAATTTCACAAAAAGATGAAATGTTCTATGTGGCTGTTTTCATGTATTTTACGTTATAGAGTAAAATTCAGCTAAAATTCAATTCTAACTTGCAGTGAACATCTGTATTATCGAGTAGTTAGTTTATTTAATTGTGGAATAAAAGAATAAATAAAACCTTTCATATCATATAGTGTCTTTACAGACTTGAGTTTAACAACTTTCTATTAAGATATAACCGTATGAAATACACAATGCCATTTTAGAAAGTGGTCAAATGTAACGTATGTTCTATTCGGGATTACACTTTCTTAGTAAAGTACAGATTCTAGTACTTTTTGGGTTGAGTCCCATCCGGGATTCGAACCCACACCCTCAGAGTCAGGCACCTAATCGCCAGCACACAAAGTCAGACGCCTAGACCGCTCAGCCACCGCGGCTGTGGACTCAACCCCAAAAGTACTAGAATCTGTACTTTACTAAGAAAGTGTAATCCCAAATAGAACATACGTTATAACCGTATGGTTGAGGATGTATTTTACGTTATGGCCTTTCTGGCAAAACGGAGAAAAAACACACGCGTCAAATCATACCATGGTTAGGTATTAATGATGCCAGCGAATGGAGAAATCTGTAAAGTTATGTCAAATGTATCAGTTTGCTATCAGCGAACATCGTCATTGTATTTTACGTTATGTTGATTACGTTAAATTTTTATTGTCCACACATGATAAGCTATTAGAGTCTAGAAAGACACCAAGATCTTTCACTGCATCAGAAAATGGTATTGATGAATCACCAATACGAAGCGAAGATTCAGAGATAGATTTTCGTTTGTAACATCCAATGTAACACCAATATTGATGAATCTCCACTGGCTCCCAGTACAAGCTAGATTCGAGTTCAAAGTGTTATCCCTGACCTACAGCTGTTACCATGATGTTAGACCAGGATATCTGAAAGAACTTCTCCAGAAATATACTTCATGCAAAAACCTGAGATCCAATGATCAACTTTTATTTACCATCCCCAGGACCAATCTCAAATCCTTCGGCCAGACATCATTCTCATTCTGTGCTCCTTCTCTCTGGAACTGTCTTCCTTTTGATATCAAAACCTCCCCATCTTTAGCTGTCTTCAAGTCCAAACTTAAAACCCATCTCTTCTCCAACTACTATCCTTGATACCTGCGCTTTGGGCAACCGCAACGGATGGAAAATAGCGCAATATAAATGCACTTATTATTATTATTTATAAGCTATATACATTAAATCCAGGGGGTTAAATTGTCAAATATCGGTTGCAACATACATAACTGGGTTAGCGCACTTGACAATACGATAATGTCACACGATGCTCATGTGATTAATGATGGTATAACGTAATATGAACCTGTAACTTTGAGGAAACCTTTAAAGCTGTGTAAACGTTTCATTTGCCATTTGCCGTTACCAACAATGGGTGTTATCGGTTGGAAGTTACTTACGTGTAGTTTATACTGAAAGATAGTCGCGTGCAAGGCCAAATGTTTCTTCCTCGAACATAAATGTTTTTCATTATGTAAAATACAAGTTTCATAACGTAATATACATTCAAACCTACTTCCATCCTTATTAGATATTATACTATGGCCGATGTTTAGGAGTGAGTGAGTGAGTCCGGTTTTACGCCGCTTGTAGCAATATTCCAGCAATATCACGGCGGGGGACGCCAGAAATGGGCTTCCCACTTTGTACCCATGTGGGGAATCGAACCCGGGTCTTCGGCGTGATGAGTGAACGCTGTAACCACTAGGTTACCCCACCTCCCCCCGATGTTTAGGAGAGTGATCTCTATTTCTAAGAGTCAATGAATATATATTCTTGATTATAGATGAATACAATTTGAAAAGTGTTCACACTTAATTGTTAAACTACAGTTATCAATTATATTAAAAAAATCATAAATTAACATTTTTGGACCATGATGACAAGAAATTAGGTTTGAATTGGATGTTCACAAATACGTGACGTTTGCACCATGCAAGTTACAACCTCCTATTCCAACTTTCGTTTTTTTCGAAATACATATTTGAAATTGTGCACTTACATTGAGAATGAGTCAACAGCAGTTGAATGTGGTTATTTCAGAACTTAATTTTAAAAAATAACATACTTGTCTGAGCTTCAGTGGTGGTAGTCGTTGTTGTTGTTGTGGTGGTGGTGGTTGTCGTTGTTGTAGAAGTAGTAGTGGTCGTTTCTGATGTAGTTGAGGTGGACGAAGTGGTTGACAATAGTTCCGAAGTGGCTGACGTTGTTGAGGCCGATGAAGTGGTGGACAGTGGTTCTGCAGTTGTTGACGTGGTTGAGGCCGATGAAGTGTTCGACAAGGGTTCTGAAGTAGATGAAGACGTCGTCAAAGGTTCCGAATTGGTCGAAGTGGTCGGCAAAGGTTCTGCAGTAGTTGAACTGGTTGAGGCCGATGAAGTTGTCGACAAAGGTTCTGCAGTAGTTGAAGTGGTCGACAAAGGTTCTGCAGTGGTTGAAGTGGTTGGCAAAGGTTCTGCAGTGGTTGTAGTGGTTGAGGCCGATGAAGTTGTCCACAAAGGTTCTGCAGTAGTTGAAGTGGTCGACAAAGGTTCTGCAGTGGTTGAAGTGGTCGGCAAATCTTCTGCAGTGGTTGAACTGGTTGAGGCCGATGAAGTTGTCGACAAAGGTTCTGCAGTAGTTGAAGTGGTTGGCAAAGGTTCTGCAGTGGTTGTAGTGGTTGAGGCCGATGAAGTTGTCCACAAAGGTTCTGCAGTAGTTGAAGTGGTCGACAAAGGTTCTGCAGTGGTTGAAGTGGTTGACAAAGGTTCTGCAGTGGTTGTAGTGGTTGAGGCCGATGAAGTAGTCGACAAAGGCTCTGCAGTAGTTGAAGTTGTCGGCAAAGGTTCTGCAGTGGTTGAACTGGTTGAGGCCGATGAAGTTGTCCACAAAGGTTCTGCAGTAGTTGAAGTGATCGTGAAAGGTTCCGAAGTGGTTGAAGTGGTTGAGGCCGATGAAGTAGTCGACAAAGGTTCCGAAGTAGTTGGAGTGGTCCTATTCGTCGGTGCGACACTCGTTGTTCCTACGGGCGGGGTCACAGGTGCAGTAGAAGGGGACATCATACCTGTTAAAAAGGTTGTAATACATTTGTTTCTTCTCAATGTTAACCGTAAGAGCAGGTCGGACGATTCGTTAAACATTTTTTCTAAATATGCATATTCCTCATTATGTGACACGACGACTGCCTGTTTGACCTATCGTCTAAGAGAGTCAAACAACATCAAACATTTACTGAAGCCCCTGAGCTGCTGTTACGATTGTTGCCGGGTATTTATAAACAACCACAAATATTCCAGCTATAGGACGGCGTTCTGTAAATAATAGCCAGGATCAGACAATCAATGACTGCCTTTTTCAGACTTTCCCTACAGTAGAACATAAACGATAAATATGGATGCGACAATCCTGCTCACAAACACCTATCTCTTTGTGGATGACTTTACTCGAACTTTCTGCGAAATGTTTTTCAAGGTGGCGTTAAAACCCAGCTCACTCATCCTCTATAATGTATATCTGATCTGTCACACTCAAGTACAAGTGACCCGTGAAGGTCCGGGTTAGAATATTGGCCTTCGGTAACCCATGCTTGGCGTAAGAGGCGACTAACGGGATCGGGTGGTCAGGCTCGCTGACTTGGTTGACACATGTCATCGGTTCCCAATTCCGCAGATCGATGCTCATGCTGTTGATCACTGGATTGTCTGGTCCAGACTCGAGTATTTACAGCCGCCATATAGCTGGAATATTGCTGAGTGCGGCGTAAAACTCAACTCACTCACTCACTCACAAGTACAAGTGTAAACCTACCAGTGTTGAGGCACACTTTGTTTGTCGCTGCCTCCACTGGGATGCAGATCTCCCCTGCATCACATGGTCGATTGATGCAGGGATGCTCAGCCTTCTGAAATACAGGGAAGATGCTTCATTTTATATATAGATATTGTTATTTGTTTGTTTGTTTGTTTGACGCCTCATTCAGCAGCGTTACAGCTATATGGCGGCAGTCTATAAATGATCGAGTCTGGACCAGTCAATCCTGTGATCAACACTATGTACATCGATCAACACAATTGGGTCCGATGACATGTGTCAATCAAGTCAACGAGCCTGACAATTGCAATTCAAACTCGGATCTTCACGGGTTTGTGACACATGAAAAGGTTTTAATGATGCAATAAATTCTCATATGTGGTATACATCCCAAAAAAATCATTTAAATCGTTCACACATCAATAAACCCATCCAAACTGGCCATCAGTTCGAGGTTCAACAGGTTCATACTTTGTAGTTAACTGGTTTTGCCGAAGAATATTGAACCGCGTTGCTTTATCTGTATTTGCCGTCTAACAGTCAAACCCTTTCCCCCGCTCCTACTTAGTTACGCAAACTACAAAAGGTCCATCAACCACACTGCCTGAAAAACAATCACAACAACATTATTTTATTCTCTGAAAAAATAAACAATAATATATGGGATGAATCTCACCATGGATACATATAAGAGAAGTATGAAAAACAAACATCTAAACATGCTCTTGAGTAGTCTTCTCAATGCTGGATATTGGCGCTCTATAAATGTATATAAAATATAACGTAAGTAGTGAATCGATGAACTGAAACAAGTTCATGTTCAAAACCGTAAAGATCCCATGCTTGTCGTAAGAGGCGATCAGGATCAGGTGGTCAGGCTCGCTGACTTGGTTGACACATGTCATCGTATCCCAGTTGCGTAGATCGGTGCTCATGCTGTTGATCACTGAATTGTCTGGTCCAGACTCGATTATTTACAGACCACCACTATATAGCTGGAATATTGCTGAGTGCGGCGTTAAACTAAACTCACTCACTCATGTTTTAACCGTCACGTCACGTCACGTCAGGAAGGTTTATATATAGGAGTCGGACGGAATTGCTTCTGTTTGAAGTAAGTTTTTGTGTACAGTCATTGTACGTCGCTCGGCATCCCGACTATAACACTAGTATACATGTATAAGGAATGGGGCTAATTTGGCAAGGTGGGAAGAGGAATTCACTGTAGGGGACTGAAGGACGCGCTCCGAAACTTGGGCGTTTGTGTTTCAATGTCAAGATGTGTTATGTTTGTATTTCTGATTTCTGCCTGTGTGCGATTTGATAAAATATTCCTAATACTGATAAATTCTGGGAATAAAACTGAAAATGAAGACTAGAGGGTAGTAGACAGTAGACACTTAGAGCTCGGGAAATTCCGGAAAGTAGGTCCTGCGAAAGTTCACACGATCAATTTCATACCAAAAAGTGTTCACATCGTGTGGGCATTTCTGGTCGTCCACATGTGAGTGAACTCTGAATATCAGATCAGGTGAATGACATTCAGTAAATCAGAATGAAGGAAACGTTATTGACATGAAAGTATGAAGGTAGTTTCAGGAACAATCCACATGTGGTACAATTATACACGAGTTCACATGTACATACCGGTGTATTCGGAACGATGGCGTCTGTGTAGACGTGATGTCGACTGACAGAGAAGGAGGCTGGTGAGGTGTCCCTGGTCTCACTACTGAGGGAACACAGGCCCGTCCTTGTAGCCCAGGTACAGGACCTACAGGAGACGGAGTACCAGCACACAGACTGACACAAGGAGGAGCTGGGGACCTGAGTCTTCATATACACCCCAGACACAAGTTGTCCATAGAAGGTCTTCTGTGTGAGTCCTGGAGTTGGAGCCAAGAATATACAGGCGGAGAGCAATGCAATACTGCACCCGGACGACACCATGTCTGTTGTCTTCTGTGAAGGTACCATGGAGACCAGATTACGGTTATGAAGCCAATGTAATGGCGTTCATGTACTTCCGTCCTGTTTAAACAACGACACACGAGATGGATCAGGAAGATTCGTGTTTAATTGTCTCTGAGACAATCCATTGATAATTTACATGTTTGCTGTTGCATTCAGTATTGCGTCATCTGATAACAGGACACATCCTTTGTCTGTAATTTGTCAGCGGATATTCCTCAAATCAACTTACTTAACGAGATTACACGGGCGAGACTGACAGCCACCCTGTCTAAATCAGTCATCCGGGCATTTCAATGTTATGCAATCCGTCAATACAGCAAAACACCAGTCTGAAAGCCATTGATCATTCAGGCCCTGTGGTACCCAAGGGATAGTACGGTGGATCATTGTTGAAAGTTTAATTGTCCGACTTTGAATGCCGGTATCATGTGTCTGTTGATTGTCGTGCATTTAGTATGTAAACGTCTTCGTGGAACTTTTGTTGTTATTCATCATAAGGACTTAAAGAGGCTATTTATTTGTTGATACAGGATATGTTTATTTATGTAACATGTTACTAGCACGGGGGTACTACAGAACCACACCTGAAATACGACAATATAGGATAATGTGAAACACCTCACTGACTGAGTATAGTTTTACGCCGCTTTAAGCAATATTTCAGCAATATCACGGCGGGGGACACCAGAAATGAGTTTCATACATTGTACCCATGTGGGGAATCGAACCCGGGTCTTCAGCGTGACGAGCGAACACCTTAACCATTAGGCTACCCCACCTACCTGTCACTGACTGTTGTCACATTGATGTTTTGATAGGCCCATTCGAGGTATGGGTTACAATTGGTTTTGGGCTACCCAAGCATGTGAGTGAGTGAGTTTAGTTTTACGCCGCTTTAAGCAGTATTCCAGGAATTCCCCACGGCGGGGGGCACGGCAAATGGGCTTCACGCATTGTACCCATGTGGGGAATCGAACCCGGGCTTCGGCGTGACGAGCGAACGCTTTAACCATTAGGCTACCCCCACTGCTTCTACCCATGCATGAAAAGGGATGGGTTATTCAGCTCGTAATTACATAGGCCGATGATCACGATGGTGGTCACTTGATTGTCTGGTCCATAATCGATTATTCACATTCTACCCGTGAAGATCCGGGTTAGAATTGATCTTCAGTAACCCAGGCGACTAACGGGATCGGGTGGTCTGGCTCGCTGTTTTGGTTGACTCATGTCATTGTATCCCAATAACGTTGATCGGTGCTCATGATGTTGATCACTGGATTGTCTGGTCCAGGCTCGATTATTTACAGGCCGTAGTCATACAATTGGAGTATTGCTGAGTGCGGTGTTAAGTAACAAATAAGAGGAGAAAAATATCGCAACACCTCATATTTTTCATATTATCAATATGTTACGTTTAAATATAGTGAAGGAACTTACCCAAATCTCAATTAAACTTACACTCTCTGGATAAATCTACCCTCAAGGAATAATTAAATGGCAAATTTGAAAGCAAAAAGAACGGGGTTTTTAATTTTTTCAGAGAAGCAAACATGGAAAAACATTTACTCATTTTGTAGTTCTGATAACTGCAACTATACCGGTAACCGGGGCGGAGGGTAGCCTATTGGTTAACGCGTTCGCTTGTCGAGCCGAAGACCCGGGTTCAATTCCCCATGTGGTACAATATGTGAAGCCCATTTATGTCCCCCGCCTTGATATTGCTGGAATATTGCTAAAAGCGGTGTAAAACTAAACTCAGTCACTATAACAAGTGCGATCACCAAGATTCTGGCATACAATCCTCTAGAAATCACATACGTATAACCGAGCACAACGGCAATATCTTGTGTAACATTCGCCAACTACAATAGCACCCACGAATCTCCTTATTGACTATATCAGACGTTGAATTTGACGTTGAGAATGCGTCCCATTTTTAGCGGAAAATTGTTCCAATTTATCAAGATTCTTTACTGAAGAATTTCTCTGGCGTATTCTGCCACCCATAATGTCCCAAACTTGCTCTATGGCATTGGAATCTGGACTCAATAGCGGGCAATGATAGAGTTGTTACCGCTTCTTGAAGTAGGAAATCACCAAGGGCACGTGTCGGGCGTGGCCTTGCATTGTCGTCCATGAAGACAGGTCTCGGGGTCAGACGATGGTGATCGATTTGTGGTACAACAACCCTGTCCGGGATTAGTGATGTACAAGGTCACGTTTACAGTCGTGTGAGTCGGTACAACAACCCTGTCTGGGATTAGTGATGTACAAGGTCACGTTTACAGTCGTGTGAGTCGGTACAACAACCCTGTCTGGGATTAGTGATGTACAAGGTCACGTTTACAGTCGTGTGAGTCGGTACAACAACCCTGTCTGGGATTAGTGATGTACAAGGTCACGTTTACAGTCGTGTGAGTCGGTACAACAACCCTGTCTGGGATTAGTGATGTACAAGGTCACGTTTACAGTCGTGTGAGTCGGTACAACAACCCTGTCTGGGATTAGTGATGTACAAGGTCACGTTTACAGTCGTGTGAGTCGGTACAACAACCCTGTCTGGGATTAGTGATGTACAAGGTCACGTTTACAGTCGTGTGAGTCGGTACAACAACCCTGTCTGGGATTAGTGATGTACAAGGTCACGTTTACAGTCGTGTGAGTCGGTAAACAACCCTGTCTGGGATTAGTGATGTACAAGGTCACGTTTACAGTCGTGTGAGTCGGTACAACAACCCTGTCTGGGATTAGTGATGTACAAGGTCACGTTTACGTGTGAGTCGTGTGAGTCGGTACAACAACCCTGTCTGGGATTAGTGATGTACAAGGTCACGTTTACAGTCGTGTGAGTCGGTACAACAACCCTGTCGTTAGTGATGTACAAGTACAAGGTCACAACAACAACAACCCTGTCTGGGATTAGTGATGTACAAGGTCACGTTTACAGTCGTGTGAGTCGGTACAACAACCCTGTCTGTCTGGGATTAGATTAGTGATGGGATTTACAGTCGTGTGGTCGGTGTATTAGTGATGTACAAGGTCACGTTTACAGTCGTGTGAGTCGGTACAACAACCCTGTCTGGGATTAGTGATGTACAAGGTCACGTTTACAGTCGTGTGAGTCGGTACAACAACCCTGTCTGGGATTAGTGATGTACAAGGTCACGTTTACAGTCGTGTGAGTCGGTACAACAACCCTGTCTGGGATTAGTGATGTACAAGGTCACGTTTACAGTCGTGTGAGTCGGTACAACAACCCTGTCCGGGATTAGTGATGTAAAGGTCACGTTTACAGTCGTGAGAAAGGCACCTCCACACACACGCATGAACACACGCACGCACGCACGCACAAACACACAATCACCGGTACTTGCTCCAAAATATTCCGATTGACTATGTCGTGTTTCTGCGGCGCAAAACATGACCTCGGCCAAGAAATCGACTTTCATCTGAAAGGTTCTTCCCTATGACCCCAAATTCCTGTGACGCGAATATTGACCCCTAGCTTTTTAGTGGTGCTTAATGCCCCGGAGATAACAGCGGATGCCTGGTACGTCGTCTGGGTCTATACCATGAAAATTTTAGGCAATTTCGGACCGTTCGGTTGGACAAACGACGGTGCGGAAGCCACCCTGTTTTAAGACACCACTCGACATGAACGTATGAAGTCTTATGATTCTGAGAAGGGCTGATTCTTCACTTGGACTTCACTCGTCGTCGACCTGAGCATTGACGCTCCACAGGTCATTAGTTTGCTGATATTTTCGGTGAGTGAGTGATTTTAGTTTGACGCCGCACTCAGCAATATTCCAGCTTTATGGCGGCGGTCTGTAAATAATCGCGTCTGGACCAGACAATCCAGTGATCAACAACATGAGCATCGATCTGCGCAATTGGGAACCGATGGCATGTGTCAACCAAGTCAGCGAGCCTGACCCCCCAATCCCGTTAGTCGCCTCTTACGACAAGCATAGTCGCCTTTTGTGGCAAGCATGGGTTGCTGAAGACCTATTCTAACCCGGATCTTCACGGGTCCCCTCCTTTAATATGAGGGACACGTTTCGCAGAAAATTCTTGCTCCTTCATCAGGTGAAGAAAACTAGGAAACAGATAACTATATATACTGAAGGAAAAAAATAAAGGATCGCAGATTTTTTCTGCCATATATACTCCTCACAAAAAGTTTATTGAAATTGCAAATCATGGAATGATGGTGAAACATATGTACACACGATTAACAATATGAAATGGAATGGTATTGAGCAATAATAGAATTACAAATCATCAAAAGCATGTACCCGTGAAACAGTCGTGCAAAATGTGCTGCATTGATGGAGCAAAATGTTAACATTAAGGTTCAAGACAGTTTTGGACAGTGAAGCATTGTTCAGTAACGCTAATGCCCATGAGCACAACTGCAAGCTTCTACACGTCTTTGCATTGACCAAATGAGCCTTTAAATCTGCGACCGCCTCCGTGGTGTAGTGGTTAGAGCGTCCGCCCGGAGAGTGGAAGGTCGCGGGTTCGATCCCCGACCGCGTCATACCAAAAGACGTTAAAATATGGTACTTGTTGGTCCCTGCCTGGCGCTCGGCATTAATGGGTACAACAAGGACTGGTCGGCTCGGAGTCAGTATAATGTGTCTGAGTGGGGTATTCATGCTTCACTGCGGCATGGTATCTCAGTGGGCTAGCACTATAAAACCAGCTTCAGTCTGGGCTAGTACAAGCAGCCGAACTTACACATACACACGCATGCACGTCGTCATATGAGCGAAATATTCTCAAGCACGACGTTAAACCTAATTTCACCTCACCTCACCTTTAAATCTGCCGCTTGTTGTACCAGAGTAATGCTTACAGGAAGGTTTACACCGATCAGGGTGCATGTGTGAAGAGTGAAGCATACCGTACACTGAGGACACTGATTGAAAGTATGCCCAGACGTTGCCAGGCAGTTGCGAGATATATGCGACATCTCTGTAAGAATGTAAAAGGGA